TTTTTAAAAATCCGTCAATATTTGCAATTTCTGGATAATGTTTATCTGCATCTCCATCTTGTTGATTGGATTTTAGGCGGAGTAAGCTTGCCACGAGAAGATATTTATGTGGAGCATTCCACAGACGTTGAGAATTCAACCCTGAATATCTCCACGAATCCGTACAATCCTAGCACCGACAACGAGACGTCTACAAATCTAGAGGAAAGCGACACAACTAGTGTGCCACCTGGTTCACAGCCCATAAACGAAGCTATGTTGAAGCCTAATGATGATGCTGATCATGATCCACCTGCTTGCCAAAGTGAGAACGGCGAAGAGGAAGAAGCAGAATCGATTCGACCTACATTGATATTTCTTTCGAATAACGTCTTTAGTGAGTTTTTGTTCTCTCTATCCTTTAGATCTGTTTACCTTTCTTTTGTTCGATTCAAACGTCCGAATCGTTTATAACTGTCTAAATTATTGTGACCCCTTTTCACTCTAAAAAAGGAGTTGTCGAAGAATTCCAAGAGTTTTTTCAGTTGTTTTTATTTCAGACTTTGAATCTGCGTTCAAACGGATTTGCGAATTATTTGAGGAAGAAAGTTCAAATAAGGCTGAGAATCATCTGATTACTAAATTCCGCATAGATATGTCATCTAGAAATACGGTAAGCAACAAAACACCCTTCTGAGGGCAAAAAAAAGACGCGTTGAAAAACCGTGAAACATTTGCCAGCTTTTTCACCTAGAATCAAAGCTTCCATCTTTGTTCTTCTCAAAAGAAGCTTAAGGTCCGAGCACTTGGAGCTTTGTTGAAATATATGGATTCGGCGCGTGTTGGGGTCGAATTTGAAACCGCTAACATCCGTACACCAATAACTGCTATTAAGACCATATCTGTGTATGGTTGTTTTTTCCTGTAAATGTATACGATTTTCTAGATTTCTTTTCCAGTGATGAAATGGTTGAAATTGATAGTGGTACTTATCTTGCTTTGGATATATTTTTTCCTGAGGAACACAAGGTTATGCCTTTCGGTCCTTACCGAGGGAAATTGTAATTTTTCTTTATAGAGAGCTTCTAAATTGAAGTCGGAATGCAAATCTTTATTTGCTTTGTGCAATAAGTGCAGGTCTGCTCCTGGAAAACGTATGTTGAGGTAAGAATTTATCTCGGTCATCTTCTCTTCAAAATTTTTAAATTATTATTTCAAACTTCTTCGCTTAAGAAAATGGTTCGAACATCCCACGATGAATAAGGAGGTTCTCACTGCAAGACAAGAAGCAATTTCGTTTTTTCTTCAAGTACGTAGTCTTTTCCAAATCTTTGTCGTCTTAACTTTTTTTTT